CCATGTTGTTCCATTCAAAGGGGGAGCTTGGTAGTTTGTAGACTGACGTTATGGAGATGTTAGCAAGAGAGATGGTAATAGTTTAAATATTATTGTCAGAGCAGTTAATGTAGGTATTTTCTATAAGCAATGATGGTTTGGCAAAAATTGCTGAGCCATAATTTTCATGTCTGATTTCGGCAGCAAGCTTCATGCCTGGGATAATTGGTCTTCTACTAGTGGGCTTCAGGTGCGTTTCTTGTAAGCAAAGGATGTCATAATTGCTGCTTTGTTGCGCTACTACTTCTGCCTTCATGATCGTGTATCCCTCAATGTTGAGTGATGCAACTGCCAAAACCGGCTCTAAGGGGAGCCCGTGTTTCTGGTTTAGAGATGAAGACATTCTGATGTTTATTATATAAAGACTGGTGGAGCTTCTGATATAACTTGTAATTGTAGGTTGTATAGAGATTGGCCTCTGAGTGTTAGTCAGAGTTTCCAGGATGCGCCACGTGGAGGCTCTCTATGTGCATCCCCTTTTTCCAGATGTCCCAAACAGTCTGAAGGGAGCTTCATCAGAGAAAATAACTTTGCACCAGCCTTCTGCTGTCCAATCCTTGTACTTCCTGCAGAATTTCAGTCTGTCCTTCATGTTTTTCTTGGAGAGAAGTGACTTCTTTTCTGCCCTTCTTGACACCAGGCCGTTGTCCAAAAGTCTTCATCTCGCTGTGCGTGCAGATGCTCTCACACCAACCTGCTGCCGTTCCTGAGCAAGCTCTGCACTGCTGGTGACACGATTCCGTAGCTGACTCCTCAGGAGGAGACGGTCCTGGCACTTGCTGGACACTCTGGGACGTCCTGAAGACTTCTTCACTGCAGTCGAACCTTTCTCCTTGAAGTTCTTGATGATCCGGTAAATGGTTCTTTCAGGTGCAATATTCTTTGAAGCAATTTCCTTGCATGTGAGGACATTTTGATGCAAAGCTATGATGGTGGCTGCACGTGTTTCTTTGGCGGTAACCATTGCTAACAAGAACACGATGATTGGAAGCAATTCTTCCCTCCTTTTATAGCTATCAGTCTGCTCTTACAATCTAATTAGTATGATAGTGATTTCACCTGACTAGTACTCATTCACACTTTCATATGTGCTGCTGATATGATTAATCAATTAATGTTAGCTAGTCATTTTGTGTCAGGATCAAAAAACAGTGATTTTTTTTGTCAAAAGTTAATTTTTTGGCCAATGAAGCTTTTAGCAATTATTTAAAAATGCATTTGATCACTCTACACAATAATCTAGAAACAATGTGAATGAACACCACAACAGCTTAAGCAGCACACTTTGCAAAACACTAAATTTATGTCACTGCCAAAACTTTTGGCCATGACTGTACATTAGTACAGTAATTTTCCTCGTATTCCTCTCGTCGCTTCACACTCCAGTCCAGCGGGTGGCGCTAAAACACATACGTTTGTTTGCCAAACACCATTAAACCTCAGAGGAAGAAGTTTAGTTTCACCATGATCTCTGTTGTCGTGAAGCTGTTTTAATACAAACTGTTAGAAATGTTGTTTCTGTAAATAAAAAAATACAGTTTTTAAATCAGGTCAGTAAATACCTGTAGTAATATTATCATCCTCATATAGTCGTGTCTAAGTTTTGAAGCAAGCAGGAATATCTGGAGGAGTAACAGCTGAACTGAGATCTGCTGCTGTGAAGATGCTGTTTGTTAAAGAGGAGAGTGAGGAGGACAAGAGTGAACCAGAA